CCTGACACACAGCATGCCCTGAATTCTATCCGTATAAAAACCAAGGAAGGTGGCTCATGCCTGCAATCCCAGCACTTGGGAAACAGAAGCAGGAGGATCAGGAGTTCAAAGCCAGCCTAGGCTGACTTTGAAAGAATCTATTGGGGTGGGGGGGGATATGAGGGAAAGAATCAGGGCTGGTAGCTCACTAGCAGAGTTCTTGTGTTCTTGTTATTTTTGTTGTTGTTTTTGAGACAGCATTTCTCTATGAAGTGCCCTGGCTGTCCTGAAACTCACTCTGTAGACGAGGCTGGCTTTGAACTCACAGAGATCTGCTGCCTTTGCCTCTGGACTACTGGGATTAAAAGCGAGCACCGCCACTTCTATCCCCAGCACTAAATAAACACAAACAGCAGCCACAGCCTCTGCTGACTGCATTGTCATCTTAGCAACAAAGACGAGGACCACTAATGGGCAGGCTAAGGTTGGCCTCTCCCCACAGCTGTGAGGTCCAGGTCACCCAGCTGACTCAGGCGTTTGTTTTAGGGCTATGGTGGTTTTTCCAGAGAGGGTCAGCAGGCAGCAGAAATCTGTGTACTCAGCTCAGCCATCTGTCCTGCAGATGCAGAACCTTTTGTTCTGAGATGTGAGAAGAGAGAAAGTACCCACGCCCAAGGGAGGGATTCATCCAGCCTTGGGCTTCCATGACCAGCTGTGGGGAGATTCTGTGAGAGGTCTCCGATCTTCAGAGGTTACTGGGATGGTCCCACGGCTGGATCGACAGGCCCCAGGGTGTAAGCCTGGGAGGCCAGAGAGGTAGAGTGAAGGGTGAAGAAAAACCAGGGTTTTCTCGGTGTAGTCCTTGCTAATCTCAAGCTCCCAATACTCCTGCCTCAGTCTCCTCGAAGCCAGATTATGGTTTAGACCTCAGCAGCTGGGCACAGAGTTCTTTGTGGTGGCACAGTTAGTCACACAAACCACAGGAAGGTGCCCAGTTGCGAGAGGCACATGCATCCTGCTTAGAAAGAGGGCATCTTTACGAAATACAGCTTACCCCAATGTCACAGACAGATGGGGCAGAGCACTGTGGGGAAGACACTGGGTGCCAGAAAGCAGGGCCTGTAGCCACACTGTGTGTGTGTGTGTGCATGGCTGTGCATGTGTGCACGGGAGTGTGTCCGTGTGCACCTGTGTGCGTGCAAGAGCATGTGTGCGCATGATGTTCCTATGTTCATGTGTGCACATGTGTGTGCCCGTGCATGTGAGTGTTCATGTGTACATGCACTCGAGTATACATGTGCGCTGGTGTGTACATGCGTGTGTGTGTGTGCAATGCACGAGAAGAGAGCATTGGATCCCTTGGAGCCAGAGTTACAGGTGTTTGTGAGTTACCCATGGCGGATGCTGGGAATAGAGCTCAGGCTGTCCGGAAAGAGGTAGCAGCAAGCACTCCTCATTGCTGAATGATCTCTCCAGCCCCCATCCAGAATCTTTGGGGAAAAAAAATCTTTTGAAAGGTTTATTTTGTGTTTAAGTGTTTTACCTGTGATTGGTTTTCGTACCCCGATAATAGGATAATAGGTTTCTCCGCCGATACAGTAAGCCAGATCAAGCTGAATTTAAAAGATTGATTGGACCAAGCACTCTAGGGTGATTTTCCAGCCCCCAGAGGTGAGGCAGGGGCAGGGGGCAGGACAAATCACACCACCAGTCTACAAAAAAGGGTTTAAATACCTTGTAGGCTGGGTTTTCAGCTTGGGGGGGGAGGAGCCTGGGCTTTTGGTGGTCTTTCTGAGGGGGCGGGGTCTGGAGAGGGAGGAGTGGGGCCCCGGAGCGGGTTTCCAGCAGAACAACCTGCATTTTCACTAGGTGCAGGTTGGTGCCGGGAGAGGCCAGGAGAGGCATCCATCCTCTGGCTCTGGGGTTGTGAGCTCCTGCTGTGAGGGTGCTGGGAATTGAATCCTGATCCTCTCTCAGAACTTCCGTCCTCGACCACTGAGCACCAGCGCCAAGAATCCTTTGTATTTAAGATCACACGGGCAGGTTTCAGGATGTGGGTGGGTGGGGTTGGGGGCTGGGTGTGTGTGTGGAGGGGACCTGCCATGTGTCCCTAAGGCTCAGTTTCCTCATCTGTGGCGAGGACTGGCCGTGTAAGATCCATTTGCCCTCAGAATAGACCCCGCGCCCACGCAGGCACCCTATAACACAGACATGGGGGGGTCCTGGTTTAAAAACTCCCCCATTGGATTGGGAGGCTGAGGCAAGCCTGGGCTATTACACAGACCCTGTCTCAAACAAAACAAAACAAAACAATGACAGAGGATAGATGATCGCCGGAGATCCAGAGGCTAGCCAGGGATTCACAGTGAGACCCTGTTTCAGTGACCCCCTAATCTCGAAAAGAAACGACAGAAAGTATGACTGAGTGATAGGGCTCTTTCCAGAATCCCCCAGAGAGGGGCTGGGGGCGTGGCCTAGCATGCACAAAGCTGTGCTCCATCCCGAGTTACATTCCCAGCACTAAAGGCTTCTTCTTTTTTAGCGTACTATTATTGCTGCTGCTGCTGTCATCATTATTATTTGAGACATGATCTCTCTGTGTAGTCCTGGTTGTCCAGGAACTGGCTTTGAACTCACAGAGAGATGCCCCCTGCCTTAGCCTCCCAAGTGCTGGCACTGAAGCCGTGTGCCACCACGCCTGCCAAAACATTTTTAAAGATGTGGGGGCTGAAGAGATGGCCCAGCAGCTAAGAGCAGGTTTGGTCCCTCAAACACGTGTAACTCCCTGTTTAGGGTTCCAGTGCCCTCTGTCTTTTTCCTCTCTTTCCGCGGGGCCAGCATGTCCTAGGCAAGCGCTCTGCCACTAAGCTGCACCCCAGCCCTCCCAGACCTTTCTGCTGCCCTTGGTTCTTCCCTCCACTCCATCCCTCGCTCTAGCTCAGTGACTTGTGTTGCTGTTCTCTGTGTGCTCTCCTCCCCTCCCCTCCCCCTCCCCCTTCCCTCTTGCCCTCCCCCCCCCTCTTGTCTCTTTCCTTCCTCAGGCTGGGGAAGCCCCCACACGCTGGGACTCGCCCATAGTCCATGGGGGGTGGTGATGCCCAGGTGAGTCACCCAAAGGAAGGAGTGGACATTCCTGCAATTTTTCTACAGGTATCGGTGATCTGGCACCTTCCTGACCCCTCCCTCAACTCCTCACAGGAACCTCCCAAAAGTCAGCACAAGACCAGCACAACCCAGGAGGAGGGCCTGGAGAGGGACAGACAGTAAAGCAAGGACAGGTGGAGGCAGGTGGAGGTGGCGAGCCCCGGTAATGCTAACCCTCCTGATCCCCCTGCCTCGGCTTCCAAAACGCTCAAATTACAGATTGGCCATCGCCATGTGTGGTGTGGTGCGGGATTGCTGGGGATGGAACCCACAACTTCATACATACTAGGCACGCCCTGTGCCTTGGCCAATCCCAGCCCAGTGCTCAGTCCCCACGCCACCCCAAGAGAGGCCCCGCTTTTCCAAGAAAGGAAACAGAAGGTCTGTGTTAGCCCAGGGTGACACAGCCAGGGAGTGGTCCATCCTGTCCACCATCAACGTGACAACCTCTGACCTCAGACTCCCTGGCTCCGCCCCAGCTTCCTTGTCACTGGGGAAGACGAATTCAGGGTCCTGCTGGCTGGTGTAAAAACACAGCTCTTCCCTCAAAGGAAGTGAGAGAATTCATTCTAGAGCCAGATGTGAGTGACCACGGCTGGGAAACAGGCTGGCATCAAACTCACAGAGATCCACCTGTCTCTACCTCCTGAATGCTGGGATTAAAAGCGTGCACCACCAATGTCCAGCCAGCTCCCTACTCTTACTCATTGAGTTATGACCTCTTAGGAAAAAGCTTTTATTTAGGACTTCCCCCCCCCATTTGCTATATCTTAAAATTGCTAAATTAAGAGGTAGGGGCATGTCTCAGTGGTAGAGCCCCTGCCTAGAGTCCCCCAGTGAGGGGCTGGGGGTGTGGCTCAGTGGTAGAGCCCCTGCCTAGAGTCCCCCAGTGAGGGGCTGGGGTGTGGCTCAGCGGTAGAGCCCCTGCCTAGAATCCCCCAGTGAGGGGCTGGGGGTGTGGCTCAGTGGTAGAGCCCCTGCCTAGAATCCCCCAGTGAGGCGGCTGGGGGTGTGGCTCAGTGGTAGAGCCCCTGCCTAGAATCCCCCAGTGAGGGGCTGGGCGTGGCTCAGTGGTAGAGTGCTTGCAGGAGGCTTTGGGCTCCATCCTCCTGAGCTCAAGCGTCAGTGATTCAGGACTGTACCGGTAGCTGCTCCTCACAGGTTGCTCTCTGTGCTCTCCCTGCTTCCCACCCACCAGCCACTCTTGTGATTTCATACCCTCGGGGCCTTTGCACTGACTGACTCTTCCCTCCGTGACTCCTTTGTCTCTGTTTCCCTAGGCATCATCCACTAGACTGTTTCACAGCGTCAGTGAAATTCCCCCTCTCGGAAGAGCTTGCCCCTCTCCCTTGCACCCCGGTTCCTCCCAACAACATTTTTTCTTTCTTATCTCTTGTCTTAATGGCCATGAGGGTGGGACCCTTGCCTTGTTTCCTGTTGTGTCCAGCGCTCCTGGAATAGAGTACTAACCGCACAAAGGAGGTCCTGTCGAGTCCGTGTTCTGTTCTACATGTCCCTCCCACCCCACCCCCGCACAAATTGCTCTGCCTGGGCACAGGATGGTAACACCCAGCACTGGGGAGGCTGAGGCAGGAGGCTCCTGAGTCCCAGGCTAGCCTGGGCTACTTAGCAAGACCACTTAGCTGCATTCAACTGCCCAAGGAGACCTGGGATTTGAACCCAGCCAGGAGATGACAGGGTTGTGGCCTCAGAGACCCCGAGTCAGGCCTCCTGGGAAGGGTAGCTTAGTGGGCTAGGGAGGAGGAAGGGGAGGCTCCCACACAACCCGGGCTGAGGGCTGACTCACTCTTAAGCAAACGGTGGGCGGAGCCCTGGGGCCACAAAACTGTCTCTTTCCCAGCGCTCAGACTAGAGCAGAGGTGGAGGGAGACCCACCCAGACGCTAGCATGGGCCTCGGGAGGAGGCTGCTGCTGCTGCTGCTCACGGCCTGCGTCCCAGGTAAGGGCTGGGTGGTGACAGCCGGGGTGAGTTAGGGGGAGCAGAGCCCAGCACCCAACCCTTCCCATCCAACCACTCTCGGGGTGTGTTCTCCAGCCCCACGTGGCGCTTTCAGACGCCCGCGGGCACACATTTGGAAAACCGATCCCTGGCGCGGTCCCAGGCTTCCCTGCAAAGTCAAACTGCACAGCCAGCGGTGGAATGACTTGGGCATGTGGCCCCCGCGGGCAGCTTTCCGCAGTGCAATCGATTCGGTGCGATCCCGCTTTGGGGTAGGAGAGAGATCGGCTCCCCAACATTTCTAGCGGACCCAGGGCCCGACGTTTGGCTTTTGCTACTTCTTCACCTGCTTCCTCCAGGAAATGTGGGGGGAAATGGTGTTGAGAAAGCCCAGGAAATGGAGAAGGGATTGAGTCAGGGTTTGGCGCGGTGAATAACCCTCCAGTCCGCGGGTGGCCGGGGATGAGTAATGGGGTGGGAAGGGGACCTCCGCGGGAGGCCCGGGTGGTCAGGGAGCTAGAGGGGTACGGGTGCGGGCACAAAGGGGAGGGGCTGTTCGCGTAGAAACCGGACCTGGCTCAGAGGAGAACAGCTCTGAGTTGCAGACGGGACCTCGCGGGGCGCAGACAGGGCGCTCTTTCTGTGCAATAGAGCCCGGGGAGGACAGCGCCGCGGAGAGGAGCCAGGAGTGCAGCTGCCACCTGGGGGCAGAGCGGGCTGTGTGGTTTGGGACAGTTACTTAGCCTTTCTGTTCCTGGAACGCACCTTGGAAATAGGGATGGATCCAGAGCTGGGGTCCAGATTAGAACCTTTGATGTCTGCGAGCGGGGCCACGAGCTTGGGGAGGAGGAGTGGCTCCGAGCCTGGGGCGGGGCCAGGGAAAGGCTGTGGTGGGTCTGTGGCAGTGCTTCTCAACCTCTGGGTCGCGAACTCTTTGAGGGGTCGCATAAGGTCATCGGAAAACGCAGACAATTGCGATCCATAGCAGTAGCAAAATTACAGTTATGGAGTAGCAACGAAAATAATGTTAGGGTTGGGGGGCGGGGACCACAACACGAGGAGCTGTATTAAAGGGTTGCAGCATTAGGAAGGTTGAGAACCACTGGTCCATGATACTAAAGTGAAGTCCCGGGCGGGCTAGTCTACCAAGAATAGAGCAGATCGTGGTGGGAAAAACCCTTAATCCGAGGCAGGTGGATCTCTGCATTCAAGGCCAGCCTAGTTTTCATAGGGCTCCGGACTAGACATGCGTAGTGAGACCTTTTCAAAAATATTCAATGAAATCATATAAAGGTAGGAAAAGAATTTAGGGGAAGAGTCAAGGGCGGGGCTACAGTAGAGATGAGAGCCTGAAGCAGGGCTATGGAAGCCGGGGCGGGGCTAGAATAAGGGGCGGGGCTAGAGAAGAAAGACTGGCAGGACTTGTGGGGCGGGACTAACGCCTGGGTGAGGGTGGAGCTAAAGGGCGGGGCTAGAACCTAGGTGTTGGGGAGGGGAGAGAGAAGGCTATTGGAGGTCACCCCGGTTGAAGCTGTCTTGGAGGGCTGATGGGCGGGGTTAGAGCTGCATGAGCTTAGGCATTGGAGAGCGTTGAAGAGAATCTACAAAAGGAGGTGGCATCTGGGGCTCGAGTGGATAAGAGACCACAGAATAGAACTGACCAAGACCGGGTATGGAGGATGGAAGACGAACAGCAGGTGATGCGCACGGGAGGCTGAGTCAGGCAGGAGAAATGCTGTGAGTTTGAAGACAGCTTGGACTAGAGAGAGAATGCGCCAAGGGCAGCTGCACATGATGACGAATCTGAGGGGACCAGGCCTAGAGACCAGTTTGGCAGCATGGTGGAGTGCGAGCAGACCCTGGCTCTGGCCCTGCTGACCACCTCTCCAATCCTCGCAGTCTCCCAAGGCCTGCGATGCATGCAATGTAAGGACAACCAGAACTGCTTGGTGAAGGAGTGTGCCCTGGGCCAGGATCTTTGCAAGACCACGGTGCTTCGTGAATGGGAAGGTAAGGTCGGTCCCACCACCACCACCACCACCAAGAAAATAGGAAACAATAGGCCACAAACCTTCTCTATCCAGATAGTAAGGAAATACGGACATTTAAACATCTAATGAGGCCAGAGAAACAGCCCAGACCCCTGCTTTGCCGGGGTGGCCCATGCCTTTAATCCCAGCACTTGGGAGGCAGAGGCAGGTGGATCTTTGTGAGTTCAAAGGCAGCCTGGTCTACAGAGCGAGTTCCAGGACAGCCAGGGCTACACAGAGAAACCCTGTCTTGAAAACCCAAAAACCAAAACAAACCAAAACAAAAAATTGCTGTCTGAGACAAGGCTACAGAGACAGCTGAGCAGGTTGAGACACCTGCTACTAAAAAGTCGGGCACTTAGGTACACACCTGTAACCCTAGTACTGGGGAGGTTGAGTAGGAGGATCGGGGGCCCCAAACCAATCTGGGCTACATAGCAAGACCCTGTCTCCAAAACGTTAGTTTTTGTTTTGTTTTGTTTTTCTTCCTATTGAGGCATCTCCGTGCTGGTTTCATTCACCTTAGGAGAGAGTTGCAGATGGATCCAGAAAATCTAAATGATGTGTACGAGGGAGGGGGAAGATGATTCTAGAAAATAACAGAGTCAGCCCAAGCAAGAAGAAAGGCCAACAAGGAGTGTCTCTGTGACCTTGAGTGGCCCGGGCTGGCGGAGACTGGGGACCCGCGAGGACTAAAGCTGTCTTCCTCACAGACAATGGTGAACTGGAGGTGGTGATGACAGACTGCGCCAATTACGAGAGGACCAACAGGACCATGAGCTACCGTGTGAACTCGAAGATCATCAGCCTGGCCGAGGTCATGTGTGCCACGGACGTCTGCAACAGGCCGAGGCCTGGTGAGTAGTCGGTGTCCTCGCCACCACGTGCCAAAGCCCCGATTCTAACCCAGACCTCCTCCAGCACCCCAGAGCCAAGTCCGTTCCTTACTCCAGTGCCCTGCTCATCCATCGCCCAGTGTCCTTGTCCCCAGCACTGTCCCCCAGGTCATCTCCCTCCCCATCTCGAAATATCCTCACGCCTACTTGCTTTGTTCGGTTGAGACAAAATCACACTATGTAGCCCAGGATGGCTGAACAGGGAGATCCTCCTGCCTCAGCTTCCCGGGGCCTGGGATTACGGCTTTGAGCTGCCACACTTAGCCCTCTCTGCACTATAAAATCATCCCTGGGCTGTGGGGTATCAAGCGCGACTGTCCTGTATAAAACAGTACATCCTCCAGGCTTGATGGAGCTTGCCTGTTACCCGAGCTGCTCAGGAGGCTGAGGCAGGAAGATTATAAGGTGAAGGTCAATTGGGATGCCTCAGGTTCTGTCTCAAACTAAAAACTAGAAAGGACCAGGGAGATGGCTCCTTGGGTAAAGGTGGTTGGTGCTCAGACCTTGAGACCTGAGTTCAATCCCTGAATGTGGAAGAAGGGAACTGACTCTCTACAAAGTAGCTCTGTGACCTACACACACATCACTATAGTCATAATAATAGTAATACATCAAAAATTTTTTAATATAAAAAAGTAGGGCTAGGGGTGTGGCTCAGTGGTAGAGCCCCTGCCTAGAATCCCCCAGTGAGGGGCTGGGGTGTGGCTCAGTGGTGGAGCCCCTGCCTAGAATCCCCCAGTGAGGAGCTGGGGGTGTGGCTCAGTGGTGGAGCCCCTGCCTAGAATCCCCCAGTGAGGGGCTGGGGGCGTGGCTCAGTGGTAGAGCCCCTGCCTAGAATCCCCCAGTGAGGGGCTGCTGGTGTGGCTCAGTGGTAGAGCCCCTGCCTAGAATCCCCCAGGGAGGGGCTGGGATGTGGCTCAGTGGTAGAGCCCTGCCTAGAATCCCCCAGGGAGGGGCTGGGGTGTGGCTCAGTGGTAGAGCCCCTGCCTAGCATGTGTAATATCTTTTTATTGTCTCCAACAACCTTAAAAAATAAAATAGAAAGGATGATGCTTGACATGGAAAGTATGGAGAGAGCTTGAGAGAAAGAAGTTCCCACAGCTTTAGGCTGTGGTCAGGGGTCCAAGTGCACACAGAGAAGGCCAGGGAGGATGAGGAAGGAGCAGGGTTCCTTGCCCGATGCTCTTCCTGAGGGGTCTGGCTCTGGGTAGAAATTGATTACTAAGGGCCTGTGTCCCAGGATCCTCATGAGGGTAGAGACTGCCTTTGTGCTGGGGTTGTCTCTTCCTCCGTCCTAACCTACAAACCATCATCTGGTGCAAGGCTGAGTCTTGTACATGTAGTTTCCGTATGTGTGCCTGCGCGTGTGTGTGCATGCTTGTCATGTTACACGTGAAGCTCAAAGGACACGTTGTGGGAGTTGATCCTCTCATTCTACTGTGTGGGTCCTGAGTCCTTAACTCTGGTCTTCAGGTTCGGCTCCAAGCACCCTTACCCGATGAGCCATCCTGATGACCCTGAGTTTCGTTTGCTTGTTTATTAGTTTGATTTTGTTTTTGTTTTTGGTCTGTTGAGACAGAGCTTCTCTTTGTATCTTTGTAGACCAGGATGGCCTCCAACTCACATAGATCCTCTGCCTCCCAGGTGCTGGGGTTAAAGGCGTGGGCCACCAACGCAGTCTTTGTTTTTGTTTTTATGAGACAGGGTCTCTCTGTTATGGAGCCCTGGCTGTCTGGAACTCACTATGTAGACCAGGCTGGCCTCAAACTCAAATCCACCCTCCTCTGTCTCCATGGGGAGATTCAAGGCTTACGCTGCCACAGCTGGCTTTTTTGTTTCTTGGATGGCCCTCTCTGGCATTGAACTTGCCATGTGGCCATGGGTGGCCTTGATGCCCGGTCCTCCTGCCTCCACCTCCTGAGTGCAGGGTTCCCAGATGTGCACCAATCACACAGGCTTTATTTGGCGTTGGAGATGGGACACAGAGCTTTGTGCATGCTAGGCGAGCACTCTACCAACTACACCAAGTACCTAGACTCTTTTTTCTATTTTTTTTTTTAATCACCTCCCACTTCTATTTTTTGACAAATGATTCTGCCCTTAGCATGGGAGACAGATTCGAGGCAAGCTAGAGTATGAAGGGAAATGAACATGGATGAGTGGGGGATGGGTGAGGTTGTCCACGAGAAGGGTAGCCAGACGCGGGGGTGGGGAGGGGAGGGCAGAGCTTTGGCAGGTAGAAAAGGAGACCTCAGTGATGCGTGCGTGCGTGCGTGCGTGCGTGCGTGCGTGCGTGGCCGGGCATAGAAGCTTCTTTCCTTGTGGGATGGAATCCCCTATGTCAGTGCAATGCTTCTGCGGGCGACAGCTATAAAGCTGGACAGATGACAGGAAGTCTCGGAAGAGCACTAAGAGGCAGAGGAAGGAACTTGGGGCCCCTTGATTCTTGGAAGAGAGAAGCCAGGCACAGAGTTTCGCAGGTGAGCCACATTCCGACTCAGCGACTCAGGGCTGTGAAAGGGAGACAGCCATGGGGAGAGAGAGGGCCTTGAGATTGAGGCTGCAGGGCGTGGCTGGGAGGGGCGGGTCCCCTGATTTGGAGATGATTTCTCCTCCAGTTCTTTGCAAGTGTACATGCAGAGGTGAGGTGTCCCAGCAGCAGTGACTTGAGCTTCCTGGGGACACAACCTGGAGAGGTACAGGTAGCCATTTCAGAGGCCCCACCCATACCCCAGCTAGGAGGTGAAGGCAGGGCTGAAACAGACCAGCCCTTCCGGGAGCTGAGCATGGCTGTGATTGCCTATGAGCGAAGCAGTTGGGAAGCTGGGTGAGGAAGATGCCGAGTTCTAGAACAAGCATTGATTGATATAAAGGGACAGAAAAAAAAATAATTTAGAGCTGCGTGTGTGCTTATGTGTGTGCGTGCACGCATGTGTGAGCATATGTGTGTGGGTGTATGTGTTAGCATGTATGTGTGCACACGTGTATGCTTATGTGTACTTATGTGTGCCCATGTGTGTGCTTGTGTACATGCGTATGTGTACCTGTGGGCATGTGTGAGCATATGTGTGTGTGTGTATTCGTGCGTGCGTGCATGTGTACGCACAAAGAGGCCAGAGAAAGATGGAGTGTCCTGCTCTGTCATTCACTTCAGAGAGTGCCTCAGTAGGCCTGAAGACAGCCTGGCAGCCAGCAAGCCCGAGGCACCCTCCCAACTCTGCCCCCCCCAACACGGATTACAGGCCTGTGCAACTGTAATTAGTTCTGGGGATCAAATTTGGGACCTCATGTTTGTTCAGCAGGCACCGACTGATCAGTAAAGAAAAGAGCTACAGCCTGGCATGGTGGCACACACCTATAATCCCAGGGCGTGGGAGGATACAGTAGAAGGATTTCCACAAATTCCAGGCCAGCCTGGTGTACTTAGCAGGTTCCAGACTGCAGAGTAAGACTTACTCTTGAAAAACAATAAAATAAGAACAACCCAAATAAATTTTGAGAAATGGGAAATCCACACAGCGTACTGCTGGCTCTGGCCGGAGCTCTTCCCCAACACACACGCATGCACGCACGCTACACGCAACCCCAAACCCCATTACCTCTCAGCTATATACTGATGGAGAATTCAAAACACAGGAGACCACAGTCTGGGATGGCCCAGTGGTTAAAGCACTGGCTGTCTTTCAGAGGACCCAGGTTCAGTTCCCAGCATCTACACCAGGCAGATGGCAGGTCTGTAGCTCCAGTTCTGGAGGGGCTCTACCGCCCTCTCTTGGCCTCTGCTGGTACTGCATGCACATGGTGCACAGCCGTAAGTGCAGGCAAAGACCCATGCACATAAAATAAAATGAAGGGAAAAAATGAAAAAACAGCTTGCTCTCCTGGGAGTCAACTCAGAGTCCCTTCCAAAGCTAATGTACTAATTAATCCCTTCCTAAAGCAATGCTGTGAATGACTGGGCGGCTCCCTCTAGCTCCCTGCCGTAGGCCCCTCCCCTTCACTCTGCCACTCCGAAGACCAAGCTTTCAACCCATGACCCTCAGGGAGACAAACTACACATAAACCATGGCAGAGGCAGGTGGAGACTCAGGAGTGTGATGCCAGGAGATCCAACAGGCAACTGAGCACATACGTCTGCATGTTAGACATTTGCTTTTTAGTACTGAAAATGCAAGCGAGGGTCTTCTCCGTACTGCATGGCTACACCCCCTGCCCCTCACTGGGGGATTCTAGGCAGGGGCTCCACCACTGAGCCACACCCCAGCCCCTCACTGGGGGATTCTAGGCAGGGGCTCTACCCCTGAGCCACGCCCCAGCCCCTCACTGGGGGATTCTAGGCAGGGGCTCTACCCCTGAGCCACGCCCCCAGCCCCTCACTGGGGGATTCTAGGCAGGTGCTCCACCCCTGAGCCACACCCCAGCCCCTCACTGGGGGATTCTAGGCAGGGGCTCTACCACTGAGCCACACCCCAGCCCCTCACTGGGGGATTCTAGGCAGGGGCTCTACCCCTGAGCCACGCCCCCAGCCCCTCACTGGGGGATTCTAGGCAGGGGCTCTACCACTGAGCCACGCCCCCAGCCCCTCACTGGGGGATTCTAGGCAGGGGCTCTACCACTGAGCCACACCCCAGCCCCTCACTGGGGGATTCTAGGCAGGGGCTCTAACACTGAGCCACGCCCCCAGCCCCTCACTGGGGGATTCTAGGCAGGGGCTCTACCCCTGAGCCACACCCCAGCCCCTCACTGGGGGATTCTAGGCAGGGGCTCTACCCCTGAGCCACACCCCAGCCCCTCACTGGGGGATTCTAGGCAGGGGCTCTACCCCTGAGCCACACCCCAGCCCCTCACTGGGGGATTCTAGGCAGGGGCTCTAGCACTGAGCCACGCCCCAGCCCCTCACTGGGGGATTCTAGGCAGAAGCTCTACCACTGAGCCATGCCCCTGGCCCCTCACTGGGGGATTCTAGGCTGGGGCTCTACTATCGAGTATAATCAGAATCCTTTATCTCCAGCTATTTCATCAAAAATAGCACAATCTTACCTTCGCCTTTACTTCTTGGATGGTCTGCCTTGCAGTCCCAATTATCACCCACGAATGAATGACCCGGAAGATCAAAGCTTCACTTGATTGATCCATGATAACTTTGTTATTTTGCCCAAAGCTTCTAGCCTAGGCCAACTGGTCCAGTTGCTTTTCCCTGGAAACACCATGTCACCCTTTGCCTGGGCTTTGGCTCACACCATCCTCCAGCCTGGCACAGCCTCTCCTTCCTGACCCAGGAGATTGGAGCTGTGTCTGAGCCGAGGCAGCCCACTGGCAGGCTCAAGGCAATTAGGTGAATCATTCCCCCAAGAGCCAAATCTATCTTGTTCAAGGAAAATGCCTAAAAGGCCCATAGCCCGCTCCTTCCCACAAACATCCATGAAAACCAAAAGCAGATTTTCCTCCAGGCACTGTGGAACATTCCTGTAACCCCTAGACTTTGGTAGCTGAGGCTGGAAGATTGACAGTTTGAAGCTAGCCTGGGGTACATAGTGAGACTGGGTCTCAGAAAAAACCCAAATTTCCAGCACAGCCACACTGGCTGCCCCAAAATCTGGGGGGTGGGGGAGTTCCTTTTTGAACACTTCTTCCCATGCACTTCTGAATGTGGGTCATGTGATCTTCAGGAATCCTCTTACTCTTTTTTTTTTTTTTTTTCCTCATTGCTCATTCACAAATCTTTCTCCATTCTCACAAGTGATTTACCTGCCATGGTGATGCCAGTGGAGAGAACCACTTGGGAGAATGGGACAGGAGGATTCCCTAATGAGGGGCTGGGGGCGTGGCTCAGGGGTAGAGCCCCTGCCTAGAATCCCCCAGTGAGGGGCTGGGGGCGTGGCTCAGTGGTAGAGCCCCTGCCTAGAATCCCCCAGTGAGGGGCTGGGGGCGTGGCTCAGTGGTAGAGCCCCTGCCTAGAATCCCCCAGTGAGGGGCTGGGGGCGTGGCTCAGGGGTACAGCCCCTTGGTGGTAGAGCACCTGCTTAGAGGAGGTGATAAATAAAATGATAAAGAATGGGGAGGAGTTAGGAAAGACAAGGAGCAAAGAAAGGGTGTTCTAGACAAACACAATAGAATTTGGGAAGATCCGGGGGCCAGCGGGTCTATGTTCTGAGACTGGGAAGCCAGTAGGGAAGAGAGAATGCGAGGGGCTGCTGCTCGGGGATGAGGCTGGAGGGGTGGCCAGGGCCCAGTCTTCAGTGGGCCTTGAATGCCATAATCAGGAACCTAGGTTTTCTTCTGAGAGCAATGGGCAGCTATGAGAGTACTCTGAGCAGAGGGCTGGGTTAGATGCACTTTAAAGCCCTTCCTTCTGAGGCCATGTGAGAGGAGGGGCAGCTGGGTGTGGCAAGGGCAGAGGCTGGTATTGAGGGGCAGCCAGGGAAGGTCTAGAAAGACTTGTGGTAAGTAGGCTTAGTGACTGACTGCCTCCAGTTCAGAGAGGTGTTCTCTGCAGGAGCTGGGCCTCCAACCCACCCCCTACCTTTCTTCCTAGGAGCCCGAGGGGTCGCCTTCCCCAGGGGCCGTTACCTTGAGTGTATGTCCTGCAGCTCTTTGGATCAGAGCTGTGAGAGGGGCCGGGAGCAGAGCCTGCAATGCCGCTACCCTGGAGAGCAGTGTGTTGAAGTGGTGACCCTTGGGAGCATGGGAAGTAAGTTCTCGGCCACAGGGATGGCCTCTTGTGGGCTGTACCCATGTAGAGAGACCTCCAAATACCGGAACTCAAAGCAAGAGGCAACTTAATTCACATGCACGCGTGCACACGCACGCACACACACACACAGACACACACACATACACGCATGCACGCGTACACAGACACACATACGCGAACACACATGCACGCACATGCATGCACACACACAGTGACTGCAAGTCCAGCGTCACCGGGTCAGCTTGAGAGTGACGAGGAATCCAGTTGCCTAGTCACATCTTACATATTGCGTTCATTCTGACGGCTGCTTTGTGGCCCAATGCGGCTATCGGAGTTCCAAACCTGGTGTCCATATGCCAGGCTTCTTCTGGAAATCCCACAAACACATGAAGTTCAATGTATCATATGGGCCTCCTTTATCATACAGCAAAGTGAGCATGGAAATACAGTCCTTTGCCTAGGGATGAAGTTAGCCCAAATAATAATAACAAGAGGCCTCTAATAAAACAGGGGTCCCCAAGGAGGCAACCCCACAATCAGTTCCTTACCACGGCCTGACCTCTGCCCCTTGCAGGGAGCTTGAAGAATGAGAACTACATCAAAGGCTGTGGCAGTCTTCCTGGGTGCCCTGGCGTAGCCGGTTTCCACAGCAACCGCACCTTCCACTTCCTGAAATGCTGCAACTCCACCCACTGCAATGGCGGCCCAGGTGAGGGTTAGGGTGCGATGGACGCTTTGGCTCTGTCTAGAGCCACCCATCTCTCTTTCCTAAGTCCTCCCCATTGTCGCAGCGTAAGTATCGCCTCTTCCCGGAAGCCAGCCCTGGCCTGAGACCGGGTCAGGGCCACTCTGTGCAGCACAGGCAGCCCACTCAGCTCCCACCGCACCCCAGCTCTGCCCACCGTGGGTCAGAACTGTCTGGTGACAAAGCTGTGAGTCCAGAGAAGGTAGAGCCAGGCTGCCCCGGCCACTGTGGTACCCAGCATAGTCAGCATGAGCTTAAGGCCAAAGGGCACGGGCTGCTCTTGCAAAGGACCCCAGGTTTGATTCCCAGCACCCACATGGCCGCTCATGTCTGTACTACAGGGCCAGGGGATCTGATGCCCTCTACTGGACTCGCTTGGAACTGCATGCATATGATAGACAACACCCAAACACTCATACACATAAACTAAAATAATTTTTTTAATGTTAACATAATGCAAAACCCTACTTTTGATTCCCGTGGGAGCCAGGTCCTGGCACGTGTTAGATGGGTCCTCAGGCTTAGCAGCAAGTCCCTTTACCCACTGAGCAGTCTCAGTCCTAAACTTATCCCGTAACATTATTCTATTTGAACCCACAACAGCCTCAGCACTCCAGAGGTAGAGGCAGAAGGTTCGGAAGTTTGAATTCATCCTCCACAGGGTGGATTTCAAAGGTAGCCTGGTACATGAGACTCTGTCTCAGAAAATGAACAGAAAAGCCAGGTGTGGTGGGCAGTGCCTTTAATCTTAGGACTGTAGACACTCTCTCTGCCCAACAGGAGTTTCCATAGTAATAGACGTCTTCTGCACTGGGGCTGAAGAGATAGGTAGCCCAGCATGGAGAGTGGATACGAACCTCGGTTCAGGTCCCAACATCCGTGGTTGGGCAGCTCAGAGCCACCTCTAACCCCAGCTCCAAGGGACCCAGTGCTCTTTTCTGGGCTCTGCAGACATCTACAATTACATGCTGCACACACGTCATTTGGTTTTTAAGTTTGCATTTATTTTGTGTGTATGTACGTTAATGCATACAGATGAGCATGCCATGGTCCATGTGTGGAAGCCAGAGGACGACTTTCAGGAGTCAGTTCTCTCTTTCCACCACGTGGAGCCTGGGGATTGAACTCAGGTCATCTGAGTCGGCCTTGAGACATCTCAACAGCTCTAGAATTATAGTTAACGCTAATTAATTTCAACCTTTAGAAACACAAGTGGCCAGTGGCTGCCACAGTGAACAACGTCAATCTGAGAAGGCAGGGCTCATTTCATAATACATACTTAGGGTCCCCCATGGGGCCTAGCCGGATGGGTGGGGCTCAATCCCAGAGAACAAGACCCCAAAAGAAAGTGTAGTTCCCACGCATGACCACCAGGTGGCGCCCTAGCATCTCGGGCTGACCGTGGGCAAACGATGGATCTATGGATGCATGGTATCAATGCTCATCTTTGGTCCTTGTCTTTTTCTTCTTCTATCTTTAAGTTCTGGATCTTCAGGACTTGCCTCCGAATGGCTTCCAGTGTTACAGCTGCGAAGGGAACAGCACCCACGGGTGTTCCTCCAAAGAGATGTCCCTCATTGACTGCCGGGGACCGATGAATCAGTGCCTGGAGGCGACCGGCTTAGATGGTGAGGTCCTGTTAGAGCTGGAAGGGGACCGACCCATTGGGGCACAGGGCGCTGACCAGACTGATTGGCAGATGGGCGGGACCTAACCCAGGTGGATATTCCTATGGAAAAGGAAGGGCAAATTGCAATAAGAGGGTTTGGCCCTGTCAAACCAACAATAATCCACTTCGTTACACCTTAACATAAATAATTTTTGATGCAGGGTCTCACTATGTAGCCCTGGATAGCCTGGAATCTATGTAGACCAAGCTGGCCTCTAACTCACCGAAATCCGCCTGCCTCTGCCTTCCAAATGCTGGGATTAAAGGTGTGCGCCACCACAGCCGGTCTCATAAATAATAGCTTTGGTGACGGGGGAAAAATAGCCTGTGTTTCTCATAATGAAAAAGTGCAAGAGGGGACTGTCATTGTTTACGGTGTGGCAACCCTCTTCCCGTCTGGCTTTAATAGCAGACATCTGGTCCTCGTGGCTGCTCTCGTGTTCAGCCTGTTGCAAATATCACATGTCCTGGGGTTTCTCTGGGAAAAGTATCTCTGTGCTCGCAGAAGCTCGGAAAGGCCAGATGACATCTTAGCGTTCCTCTGAAAACAGTCCTGGCGTGAGTGTGAGGGACTGCCAGGGGTCCCTGGCTCCCGCCATGGGGAATGGAGGTGGCTATGGCGTCCACCACCCGAAGCTTGTCTCTGAGAATTCCTGGCTAACCGGCTCTGCTATTCCTCAGTGCTGGCCAACCGGAGTTACACCATGAGAGGCTGCGCCACGGCTTCCTGGTGCCAAGGCTCCCATGTGGCAGACGCCTTCCTCCTGGACCACCCCAACACCTCGTGCTGTGATGGCAGTGGCTGTAATGGTCCCAGCAGCGGTGCCCCCAGGCCAGACCCTGCTCATCTGGGCTTCATCGTCTCCCTGCTCCTGACCGTCCTCCTCTGGACCTGAGTCCTGAGCCCCAAGCCCTGGCTGGACCCAGGGACTTTTGACCTCCCTCGTGTGCCTCAGTTTTTCCAAGAACCGGAAGAGATGTGGGACAAGGGCTGCGGGCAGCAGAAGGGCTCTTGGTTGAGTTAATATTATGGTTGCTATTGTTATTATTATCATTGTCATTCCTCTAACTTATTATATATATAAATAAAAGACTTTTTTATACCAGTGAGCAAGACTGGGATTCTCTTCTGCTCCTGTCATATTTAGCTTTGGGAAGATGAATGGGGGGGGTCTTTTTTCTTTGATTTTGTTCCAAGACAGGGCCTCACTATGTAGCCCTGGCTGTCCTGGAACTCGTTCGGTAGACCAGGCTGGCTTCAAACTCACAGATCTGCCTGCCTCTGCCTCCCCAGTGCTTGGATTAAAGGTGTGAGCCACCACACCCACCTTTTCAACTCACTGGTTTTTTTGGGTTTTTTCTTTTTTTGTTATTGTTTTTTAAATGATTTATTTATTTTTATTTTTATATGTGTTGGTGCTTTGCCTGCATGAATGTCTGAGAATGTTAGATCCCCTAGAACTAGAACTGCAGGGAATTTAAACCCGGGTCCTCTTAGAACCACTGCTCTTAACTGTTGAGCCCTCTCTCCAGCCCCTCACCTCACTGTTTTGAGACAGGGTCTCCCACTGAATCCTGAGCCCATCAGCTTGACTGTACTGGTGGCCAGCCAGCTCCAGGAATCTTCCTGTGTCACGAGCACTGAGGTTACATGGGTACTGTGTCTGGATTTTCTACATGGGTCCTAGGGATCTGAACTCAGGCTCTCATATTTCTGGGACCAAATGCTGTACCGGCAGAGCCCTATCTCAGCCCCCAGACTATGTTATTGCTAATGCCTTCCAAGAAAAAAATGACAATAATTGAGCCAAGACTGTATTTCCCATGATGCCCTGCAACAGAGAGAGCTGGAGATGATGTTGCATCAGCTGCTTCCTGTTTCAAACTGAAGATAATGTCACCATGATGCCTTGAAAAAGACATTGAGGCTAAGGCTTCCTCTCCCGTGATGCCTTGCAGTGGGACTCAGAGGATAGAAATGGCCACCCTCTGGTGTCCCCTGGCTAAGGTCACGTTTCTCTGTTCCACAGCCTGTTCTAGGCCTCGGTGCCGCCAGCTCCTGAATTGATCTTCCAGGATCTTTGGCTGCAGGAGATAAGATCCCTTTGTGCTAACTTAAGCAGGAACTGGTATCATATAGGGAGGTTAGAGTCTAAGCAAAGTCCTGGGAGCCTGAAAGCTGTGAAAATCAGAGGAAGCTCCTTCCTGCAGACTCTGTCCCTCCTCCATCCTCCTGCGCCTGTGCCTGTGTGCACCTCGGGTGCCTTTACTCAGACGGCGGCCACCTGGGCTTTGACACCCTTACTTCTCCCTGGCCTGGAGTAGGCTAGGCTAGCTGGTCATCAGGCCCCAGGGACACCCCAGTCACCACCATGATGGAATTACAAGTGAGCGTCCCCACATCTCAGCTTGTTTCTTTAATGTGGGTTCTGGGCGTCCAACTCAAGTAAGAGGCTTGCAGGCCAAACACTATGTGCTAAGTCATCTCCCCGCCCTCAAAGTCCCTCAGCCTCTTCTCTCCCCTTTCAGTGCCCCCCACCCCACCCCCTCCACCCCACCCCACCCCCTCCACCCCCACCCATTGGCTCTCTCGCCGCCCCCCCCCCCCCCCCCCCCGCCTCCAACCCTCTCACATTTCCCCCAAGCTTTCCTTCATTTTCCTTTCTCTAGACTGCCTGCGTGGACTTCCCACATAGTAGACAAATACGCCTACTATGGGGCTAAAGACCAAAAACACTTGAATCCCTTCTTTTTCCAGGTTCTCACATTTTAGCTAAGGATCCACCCAGGCCAGTTCTGCCCACGGCTCCCCTCTGCTTAGGGCCAGGGAAGGTCACTCCCATCTGAGGTTCTCACGAAGTACAGCCCACTCATCTGGGAGCCAGGAAACAGAGCCTGCGGGAGGGTTCTTGCCACAAGTAGGAAGAAGTAAGTGAAGAAAAAAAAAAGCCGAAAAAGTTCCCACCACTTAGAAGGTTCTAGTTGGCAAGCAGTATTGCTTCCACAAAATCTCTGTATGAATCACAGGGCCAAGACTGCACCCAACTGAACGTGGTTGAAAGTAAAAAGGAAATCGATTTTCTCTATAAGAATCAGTCGTGAGTTAGGGGAACCCTTGCTTTGATGAAGTCAGCAGTTCCCCACCGAATCCTACATGGCCCAGGCTTGCATACATCATGAACTCAAGGTGGCTGCCTCTGTGCCAGGCATTTACTCTGGGGATTTCTTTGGGGAAACGAAGAAAAACGTGCCTTTGAACATCAGTGGACAACCCCTGCTTGGCGTTTCATTCCCCTGACTGGCCTCGCGTACCCTTGTATCATCTGGTTACTGAGAGGTTCAGACACTGGAGCAAGGTCACTGCTGTTCGTGGAAAGGGGCAAAGGGGGAGGGGCGAGCAGTTCCCCATGCCCCGCCCATGTTTCCTCCCCCAGGGAATGGGTCCAGCAACTGCCTCTCTGACACCCACCTCTGCTAGAAGGCTGATCTCCACTAACCAGAGACCTGTGGTCCTCTCTGATGCAATTAGCATAGACCCGCCCCTTGGCCGTTGTCTTAATTGAGCTTCTACTGCTGTGATAAAACACTTGGCCTGGGGCTGGAGAAACCCACAGAAACTACTGACCTGAACAAAGAGGAGCTCATGGCCCCCAGTCTGATAGCTGGGAAACCAGCGTAGCACTGACCCAGATTACCCGAACACGGGTGTTAGGAGGCCTGGGCAGTCAATGGGACCTCTGGTAATGGATCAGTATTTATCCCTAGTATAGGAATGGACTTTGGGATACTTTCCCAGCCTAGACACTTTCCCAGCCTGGGAAGGGCCTGGGCCCTGCTCCAAATGATATGACAGACTTTGAAGATCCCTCATAGAAGGCCTCACCCTCCCTGGGGAGCAGAAAGGGGATGGGATTGGGGTGTTGGTGGGGGGATCCGCGGAGGATGGGAGAGTGCAGGAACTGGGATTGAAATGTAAAACAAGCTTGTTTCAAATTTAAATTTAAAAAATTATTTAGAAAAAAAGATACCACTTTGCCTGGGGCTGGAGAGATGCAGTGGTTAAGAGCACTGGCTGCTCTTCCACAGGACCCAGGTTCAACTCCCAGCACCCACACGGCAGCTCACAGCTGTCTGTAACTCCAAGATCTGACATCCTCAGACAGACATACATGCGGGCAAAACGCCAATGAAAATTCAGTAACAATAAATATTTTAAAAATTAAAAAAAAAAAAAAACAATTTGACCAAAGCAAGGGATAAAAGAAAGCCTTTACCAATGCAATGATATCCTAATGATATTCTGCTAGGCTCATAGGTTGGTGCTTAGTCCAGCTGTCATCAGAGAGGCTTCCTCCAGCAGCTGCTGGGAGCAGATGCAGAGACACCCACTAGGCAGAGCCAGGGGAACCCCAAAGAGGGGGAGGAAGGATGGTGGGAGCCAAGAGGCTGAGGACTCCAGGAGAACGCAGCCCACAGAATCAACTGAGCAGGGCTCGAAGGGCTCACAGGTCTCATAGGGTCTGAGCTAAGCCCTCTGCTTACGTGTGTTCTCATGTGACTCCTTACAGCGGAGCGGAGCTGTTTCTGGCTCTGTTGCCTGCGCCTGGGGCCCTTTTTCTCCTACTGGGTTGCTTTGCCCAGCCTTGATATGAAGGTTTGTGCCCAGTCTTGTAATTTGTTATACTGTGTTTGTTTGCAATCCCTGAGAGACCTGCTCTTTTGGGTGGAGGAGTGGATGTAGGGAATAGGGGAGGTGAGGGGAAACCGCAATCGAGATATATGTAAGGAATAAAAAAAAATTTTTTTAAAGTTTTTAATTGGGCTTTTGTCAGAGTTAGAGTCCATGAGGAGGGACAGAGGAATGGTGACAGGAACAGCTGAGAGCTCACATCGTCATGGGCACAAGGCAGAGAGCCAAGGGGAAATGGTGCCAGTCTTTCAAACCCTCAAAGCTCACCCCCAGCGACACACCTCCTCCAAGAAGGCCAAACAGTCCCATCAACTGGAGACCAAGTATTCAAACATATTCACCCACAGGGGCCAATCTCATTCCACCCCCCCACCGTCCGCACCACCACCACCATCAATACTGGCTTAGGAACAGGCAAGTGGCAACCGTCTGGGGCAATGAGACACCCCGGACCCAAGAGATAGAGGTAAGATCTGAGATCAAACCTGGGCTACCAGCTGGGACCCTTCGCATGTGTTGAGGCAGGGAGGAGGAGGAGGACGTGAGGAGGATAGGGATGGAAAGATGGCTCAGTGGTTAAGAGTAGCTGCTGTCAATCTGAACACAGCATCAAGGTCCTACAACACGTGTAACAAGCCAGGCATGTATTACAATGCCTGTAATTCCAGCTCCAAGGGGACTGACAGCCCCCTGTGGCTTCCATGTATGAGAACACACACACACACACACACACACACTCCCCCAAGTGGGGGACCCATCCAACAGCCATTGCCCTGTAGCTCTGGCCTGGCCATCCGTCTATCCTGAGAATGGATGGCCCCCCTCATCTTGGAAGATGGCTGGCAGATAGCCCTGGGGCTAGAATTACCAGTGAGGCTGGACAGAGGGGAGAAAAAGACAGTTGAACAAAGAAGTCTACTGAAGGAAACTCAGAAAAGATCACCTCCCTCACTGAAATGGAGCCTTGTGGAGGCTGTACTGGCCCCAAACTATGTAGTGGAAACTGGCCTTAAACTCCTAGCTCTTCCTAAGCACTGAGGATACAGGTGTGAGCCACCATGCCCGGTTTCTGTGGCGCTAGGGGTAGCAATGGGGTTCTGTGCCTACTGGGTAAGCGCTCCACCCCCCCCCAAAGCCTTGTCCCCAGCCCACTGGAATAATTTCTCCTTCACCCTATGAACAGAGTGCTTTGAAGGGACCTGCCCTCCCATGCTAGATGCGAAGCTGACAGATGAGTGCCAAGCCAGTCTCTCTCCCAGAGTGCCACAAGCCAGGGAGGAAGATATCAGTTAGTGATGTTAGCTCACCACTTGTGTAGGGGAAAGGTCACTATAAGCTGCCCCCTTGTGGGTCTTGAACGCATGCCAACAATTTCTGTGTTGAAAGTCCAGCGGGATCACTCAGTTAAGTAAGTGCTCAG